AAAGGGGGGTACAGAGCTGCGTTATGGGTGCGTTTCAAGGGGGAGGGGGTTCAAAAAAACGAAAAAAGTATGTTACGGAGTACTTGAAGAGCCCTAAGGTAACCAAGGGTAAGGCCCTTGATCGGTTCCTCCTGGGGGAGCCGCAGAGGAAGCGTGATGAGTGGTTAAAGGGATGGGGTTGAAGCAGGAATGTTAAGGTGCTCGACGCTCGGAGGGTTGTGGTTCGACAGGGGGAACTGGAGGTTAGGCGTCGTCGAGCGGCTGAGAGAGAGAGTACTATAGAGCGACTTATTTGGACTACATTTTGCAATTTGGAACTATAAATTCTAGCCCGGTTTAAAAATAACGTATGTGCCAGTAGTTTCCCTGAGCACATAAGTGTTTTTCCAGAAGAGGCAGAATTTATAGTTCCAAATTGCAAAATGCAGTCCATTTATGGATTGCGTTAAGCTGAAAGCAACCAAGTCACACCAGCTACTGCCAAATGTAACTGGGCGATTCGATTTTTTACAAGAGAACGTTTGTTCGGAGTCCTTTGCAAATTTTAAGGTATTTGCTTCGTATGATGTAAAAAATTCACTGAAATTTACACACAAATCCGCACAACTGTTTTCATGTAAAAAATTAAACTGCACGACCAAATTTTGCAATAGCTTTTACTACTTGCTTATTTATTACTGAGCGCTTCGTGCATGTGAGAACTGATCGGCCGGCCGGAATGGTCCAAGGCTCAGAGCCTCAGTTTGATATTACATTTCTCTGAAACACGGAGAAAAATTTCCATATTTGTTTAAATTGAACATCATCAAATTAGCATCTCTTGCGTATTTTAGGCATATAACAGTCGAGGAGGAGTATGAACTAAAAAAAGCATGAAAAAGACCGTTTGTATTCCATCCTATTGAAAACCATCTAGGTTGCGCTTTATAAGTGTACGACTGATAAGTTTTAAAGCAAATAAATAGAATACTTCTCGTTCAGAAAAATACAAAAATTTAATTGCAGGAATCGCCATTTAACAAGAATAAAGGAACAGCGACATAATGCACAACAACATTGGAACTAATTTTTTTCGAAAAATACAAACATTTAATGGTATATAATTACAGATTTAGAATTTAATGCGAACACAGGAGCAGTGACGGAAAGCACGAAAACATTCGAGCAACGCACATGGATTAATTTGAAAAGACATGCAATATCAAGTAAGAACATGACTTGGTTTTTTTCTCATTGACTCTTCTTTTTCTTTCCATGCTATTGACCAATTTTCTGTTAGATAGTGTAGCCAATATTAATTGAATTAACCAGTTTTTCGAACCAATTTTTCAGTTCGCGTGCCTGAACTTTCGAATGATCGGGTCGAAAAAAAAAACTTTCAGAATGATCCAACTGAAAAAATAGTTCTCAGTAATCGTTTGGTCATACAAAGCGAACGTATATACAAAGATCGTGCACTGAACATTCGGTTTCGATACATCATCGACTTTTTGTTCTTTTTTTTCAAAGTATGAACTTACTGTGCGGAATATGTTTAGGTGTAAAAGGAAAGAACTAGAACAACATACATTACAAATAAAGGCGATTGGTTTGGTCGCACATAGGAGAAGAATAATCTATGAGAATTTTAATAGATAAACTCGCACACAAATCAACTGCAGCAGGTTGATATGTCTAAAGTGTTCTGTGAAATTTACTATTCTAGGAGTCTGTATTGTTATTCAGGTTACATTTTCTTGCTCTCTATTTAAATAGCCGGTGACTGTAGACAAAACGGCCACAGACAACATTTAAAATGCATAATATGGACCACGCAAAGTGCGCGTTTCAAAGTATATTTCAGTCTAATTTATCAGTGTAATTTTCGTGTGATTTTACCAAAGAGGAATCATCTCCAAGATGCTGCAAATCCATTGAAGGCATGCTGAGTTTATAAAAACAAAAAAATATATATCATTCGGAAAAATATAGAAATAACAATAAATATGGTACAGTAGTATTAAATCTTCATGAGCAACAGTTTTCAGAGGACAATTGATATAAAGAAAAAAATGTATTAAATAGGGCGAGGGATGTAATTAACCAGGTGGGAATAAGGAAGAAGTGAAAAAGTGAGTGAAAAATTTAAGTTTTTGTAAATTTCAAGTGAAAAAATAGGAATATCTTAAAACTATAACATTTGTTAATTATTATAACCTTTAATAATTAAACATACGAAAAGGATCTTAATAATTTAACTATACTACTTGGCTACCAGTCTACCACTCTCTAATCTTCTTATTTCTTTTGTCAGAGGGGGGGGGGAGGGGCTGCCGGGGGCTGCCGTGAATTTTAGATAAATATAATAAATTTTTAAATTCAGAAGATAGTAACGGTAGAAATCATAGTAGAATATTCAAAATTCATAATTAACATTTTTCAGAGGATAATTGATGTGGATGTAAGAGATAATAAATAGGATAAGGAATTTACACGGTGGACAGACGCAATGATAAAAAAATGAAAGTTGACGTTTTGTAGTATTAAATGGAGAATGGAAATGTGATACGTTGAGTTTTGTTCAATATTGTAATCTTCTCGCTTTCTAATCCCGAAAAGGGTCCAATTAAGGTAACGCTATTCCTCCTAATCTAAGTGGATTCCATGTACATCCGACAAATGTCTCCTCAAGTTTGCCGGTCTTGCCAAAATCTTGCCACACACTTGGCACTCCGTTTCACCTAAGTGCATCCGCATATGAGCGATTAGATCCTTGCGATATTTGTATTCCTTCTCACAATGCTCACATTTTAACTTGGAGGTGTTCTGCAAAGGAGTGCAAACAACTTCCAGTGACAATTTTCGGTTTCGGAGAGTCCTGGGAGTAGATTCTAAAACAGACCGGTTCGGAAATACAGAGCCTTTCGGTGAGAAATTGTGACTGTCAAGTTTCAATGGACTGGATCTGCTGCACACACAAGATACAGTCATCTACGGGCTGATTATTGAAATTTATGGACAAAGCTACAGATAAAGAGGACAAAGAGAAACTTGAACGATCCTAAAAACGGGTAAGGAGGCTGTTATGAACAGATGGAGACAGAGGCGGACTCAGCAATTTGGCAACACCGGATTCCCACCATTTAAACCCATGTTAAATAATCGATTCTTGTCGGCCCACCTGGCCCCTCCAAGAATCGATAAATTCCTATAGGTTTAAGTGGAAAAAACAATGTTGCCAATTCGCTAGATCCGCCAATGGATGGAGAAAAGAATGGACTAACTACAAGGTCACCTGTGGATTTTCGTTACCTTCTTCGTACATTACAGCCACCCGCTTCGACCAATAAGAGCGCTCAATTTTCACTTCGTGTTCTTCGTCTATCACTTCGTTTATCGATTTGAATAATCAGCCCACCAAAGTCAGGGTTACCACAGAACTTAGAAAATTAAATTCCCTGACACATTTCGGTGAAATTCCCTGAAAACTAAAGATGTGACGGATGGTTAAGAGGGCATAATTGAAAATAGTTTTCAGGCAAAATTTCATATTCAAAATCTCAAACCCATTCTGGAGAGCAAATGAAGGTGATTTAACCAATTTCTGCTGACATTTTCGTCATTTTCCCTGGCATTTACTGAATTTCCCTGACTTTTTAAAATTCCTTGTCATTTCCCGGTTTTCCCTGACTGTGGCAACCCTTCGAAGTACACCTTAGGGGAGACTTTACACGAGAATCATGTTGATCACATGATTCAAAACGCAAGTCCGTTGCATCTCTTGTATGCGGCAGACCCATTCCATAAAAAAGGTGCGTAAAATTAAGGTTTGAAAAAAATGAATATTTCCTGAATTAATGAGAGAGATACATCGTGAGATTTGGACAGTGTTAAACAAACCAATCATGCCTACATTGAGAGTTTTGAATGAAGACCCCAGTGGCGAGGCATGACGATAATCGACAGTTTCCCACTTAAAATATGATGAAGATTCGATTATAAAGGAATACCCTGTAATCGATCCTTTTTCATACGTTTAAATGGCAAATGAATCGATCGATCGCAAAGCACAACACGCCGATGAAAGACTTATGCGCAACAGTTTGAGAGTGGTCCCATAAGTCAGATTAAATTATAGATGACGTATCGGGAAAGAGCAACGGGATAGGGGCTTCGAGAACGAAAACCACTCGCTAAAGTCACCTATGGATTCCATTGAACTACATAGCCACTTAGGTTTTTCTGATCCCCCTATTGATGTGACCCGTTTGCTCAGTGATAGTCTTGCTTGGACACAGTTAACTGA